CTCGATAACGGTAAAATAGTCTTTGTTTGCCAACTTATACCAAAGACATAGACCAATATAGTTTTCGAAAGGATATTTCTTGGACAGTGAGTGTATGAATTACGATTATATCTATTTTTTTTTTTTTTGTTTTTTTTTTTTTTTTTGTTTTTGAATGGTCGGTCTATCGCCGTAGGTATGTGGACATGGAATATAAAAAAGTTCCCTAATAATTAAAAATGTGTGTGAAAAAAGAGAATCAAAATTTAAGGAATACGTTTCTTATGTGAGAAGCACCCGCTCCCACTATCCCATCATCAAGCTGTTGCGTTGTTTCTGAACCATCGGTGCATCAATGTGTCATATAAAAATAGAAAATAATAAAAAAGGATGATACTTATAGTACTTTTTTTTTTCGAAAAACAATCAACTTTCAAAATATCCTCTTTCTAAGTGACAAGCTTGCCTTCATATCTACTTCGTGCTTCGGAATTTGAAGCGAGTCTTGTGTAGACATTTTAAGATTTGTATTATTCTTGATTTGCTACGTTTTTTTTTAACGAATTTACAGATCTTGATGCGGGGGCCTTGAAACCATACTACTTCAAATGGTAATGCAAGAGACTCAGTGTACCGTTTCTGGAATTATTTCAGTATCATTTCAGAGTAATTGAAAAATAATATTAACTAGAATTTTCATTTCATATTCGATATTTTGAAATTAAATGTGTTTTTTTTTTCTGGAAAACACTTCACCATATTTGAGATGTCTGGAAAGCATTCGATTTTCTCACTTGTCAGCTTCCGTGTGCGCTGCACATAAGTGGTTGCACACGTTTTCCATCGTCTACAAACGCTTGAATATCAAAGCTGAAAGCGGATATACACTTAAAAACGTTTCCTTAATGATTGTATACACGTGTGTGTATATATGTTTATATATATTTTTTTTCGTTTGCTGATTTTACGCCATATTATAGCAATATGTGGCTCCGTAGACACGCTGCGTTCTTCTTTTGGCGAATTTTGGCGAATTTTCAGATTTTATTTACAAATGCATTTAATTGGAATTTCGTAAGATTTTCCCATATCGCTACGCTTCATCGGTTGGTTTCATCTTATTTACACAGCCATGTCTGCGGTTGTTTGTGTATACGTGTTCATATGCCCCAAATAGCGCAGAGTCTGCATGCTGAGACGATAAATCAGACATTATTCGACATTCATTTCATTTTCAATAATGCAAAAAATCCAATTGGAATTAATGTGCGAGAATTCGCTGTTGAAAGGAGAGATTTTCTTCAATGGTTTTATTAATAATTTTTGGCATGAATGTAAAACGTGTCTCACGGCCAAGAGCAGGGTAGGGTTAGGTGGCTGCACAATTCTACAATTTTTTTGTGCTTGCCACATTTTTACATGCACCATAAAACCGAGGCAGCTTAAACGTTTCGCTAAGTTATTCACGTCGATGTGCATAAATTTGAATAGTAGCGCGGCACTAGATCATCTCACGCGATCTCCTTTGGCACTTCGTGTCATTAACCTTTGGAGAAAGCAGGAGGTAATTGCCTCAAAAGGGTATGTGTGGTATGTGAATTTAATATTCGTAAAAGAACCAAATGAAATAAGTGGCATACATGAGTGATGTGTCAATAACCCGATACAGCGGAAGTTTCGAAATTGAATTATGCATGTATTTTCGAAAGTCATCAACACTAAACATTATTCCGCATTTACAAATCTTTGTTGTAAACTACTTAATTTTAAAAGCGTCAAATGATCGGAGCATGCATAATTTATGATGGAAGCGCTATTTCGAATGACAGCAGAAATTTCTCTTTCAAGTCAAAAATGCACGCACTCGTAGGTAGCACTGCTTGCTGAGTGACATTTACAGACTGGAAAAATACTGCAAATAATTTTAAATACAAAATGACTTGCTCAGAATTTTGATAAAAACCCAACGAGTGGAAATTACGCGCTTCACACATTTTCTTACTTTATCTTTGAAAAAAAATTTAAATAAAGCTTTCACCGAGCGTTTGGTATGAAGGCTTGAAACACAGTAAGCATTGCTTTTTACTGCACTGAAGGGAGTCAACTTTATGCTGATATTATTATTGAATAGAGATCTTAAATTGAAAGCATACAAAATACCGCTTGTGCAAGAACTGAAGCCGCTGGACACTCCCAAGCGCCATTGCTTCACTCTATGGGCTCTTGAAAAGCTCCGAGAAGATCCGACGTTTTTGAGCCCTATTTTGTTCAGCGGTGAGGCCCATTTCTGGTTCAATGTTTATGTAAGCAATCAGAATTTCTGCACTTAAGACAAATCTCTGAAGGCCCTCTATCGACCCTGTAAAATTTTATGAAATTATCAACTATCTAAAGTGCGATAAATCACTTACTAAATAGGACAGGGACATATCATTAACACCCAATTCGCCTAGAAAAGGCTTTATAAGAGTCGTTGCGAAAACTTAACAAAGGGCGTGGCACCGTCTACGTTTAGGTGAAATCACATATATCGGGATCCGTTCGACCGATTTCACCAAAGTCAGACTGCAATCTTGCCTACTTCCGATATAATATAATATTAAATTCCATCTGAATATTTCCTTTCCAGTGTATAAATCAAGAAGCAATTATTATAACGGGATACAACTTTGCACGAATAATATCTTTAAAGTATGCCACCTTGTGACCAAAAATTGTCCAAATCCAACAAAAACTTTTCAAGCCCCTAGATACCGAATATTTAGACCCTAGTACCTATAGTTGACCAAAATATCGGTCAATGTGTGAAATATATAATTGAAATTCAGGGATAGTCCTTTCAACGGTATTTACGTGGGTCAAAAATAGGTTGAATCGGGTCAACACTTCCCTTAGCTCCCATATTTCTAATATGTATAAAGATTTTCGAATTTCCAGGTGACTTTATACCGGCCAACATATGAGTTATAATAGTAATAATAATAATAATAATAATAATAATAATAATAAAAATAATAATAATAATAATAATAATAATAATGATAATAATAATACCCAACGAGGGGCGCAATCCGCGAAGAAGCGGAAATAACCGAGTCATAAAAGGCAAGAGAGTTTTAAGCGTTGCGATCTTAAGCTGCTCAGCTACAGAAACAAAACAGCAGCCAAAATTAAGAATTAAAATTAAAGTTTATAATTTTTAAATGTTACTTGTTAAGAGTAGGTAATGAATGGTAAAGAGTGAGTCTGTTAGATCAATTTGATGGAGCATGTTTTACAATACACCGTTAACTCTTAAAGTTGCTAATGTCAAAATAATGGCACCTTAGCTTTTGAAAGCTTAAGAACACTTAAAATAAAGTGATATTTTTTATTTTTTGAGTTTTATAATTTGATGTATTATATATTCTTTTTATTTATATATTAAGGGCGTCCAAGTGATTTATTTTCCGCATTTTTCTCAGTGTAATAAAAAATTTTGCATGAAAGAGAGATAATATTTACTTTGCTTTGCGTACTTATATCATCCTACCTACTGTACTTTTGTAATTTTTTAAGAAAATATCCCTCTCAACTAAGCCATACTAACATATTTTAAATAACTAAATTTGTATGACCACCTATACTGATATTTTTAATATTTACGTATGCAAATATTTACTTGTCATTGAAAATCAACTCTCATATATATTCTTATTTCTATTTTATCTTCGTTATATTGATAAAGAATTTTTTCTGGCTGCTTGATTGTGACGGCTACTAGCAAAGAGAACAGGAACATTTCCAAAATAATTTCATATTGTTTATTTATGATTTAATGTTATACATCTTTTATTTGCTTGAAAAAACGGAGGAATAAATAAACTTTATGAAATTTTATTTACTTTGGTGACACTCTGTGCTTTTTGGCATTCGAAGCGCTTGGCATTGGAACAATGCCATTCCTATAAAATGGTGTTGGTCAATTGTAAATAAATAGTAGCTATAAATATGCAACAAAAGTAAAATGCAAGTGGGTCTACATATACATATCTCACACCTCTTTGAGTTATTGCAGGAAGTCTTTGAGAAAACATTGGTCAGCATTAACATATTTCAAAATGTGGAAACGGCGAAATTGGATTTGTTAGGTTAGGATGCATGCACGTTACAATCTCTGAAGCAAGTTTTTTTTTTTGGATCGAGTCAACATAGCATGTATAGCTACCACGGTTCTTGTAACAAATGTTTCTAAAACTATATAGTCCTCTGAGAATATAGAGCACCATCTGATAACTGGAAGAATTCCGAAATAAGGAGTCAACAATTTTCAAAATGCTTTTAAAAGTCCTAACAGCATACTTGGAATAAGAGAGATATTATGCTTCATTTGCTCATCCATCGTTCCGATAATTTCTTCTTCTCGCTACAGCGATTGCCAGCGTGATAGAACCGCAGAACCAACACTTTCCTCTAAACCAAATTTTCATTTTGTCTCTGTAAGTTCCCAACGTTCAGTGGCGGTAATAGTTTTATTTTGCTATAAAATTGATGTTTAGCTTGGACGCATTCAGGTTACATAACCCCTTATTATTATCAGTGACTTCAAGCATGCCTGAACCTGGCATTAGTGGCGCAAGATCTCAACAGCTGTTAATGCTGGTACTTTTCGATTCTCAAAATTCTTAGAAATGGAACACCCAAACCTTATATAGTATAACCACAACTATTCTATTAAGGTTTGTATACTTTTCAATATGGTTTTTTTCGACGCTTTTTTTTCCACTCTGATTGAGGTATCTTCACAGCATGCGTCCTTAGCGCATCAATCGCCTCTTTGGATGTCGATAAACGTTGACTAAGAAATTTTGTTTTTTAATATAAATTTTATGCAAGCTTTTTGAAATATTATATCAAACTTTATTATACTCGTACATCTGTTAATATTCGGAACTCAGCTATAATAAAAATCCTACTAGATATATTTTTACTGACACATTGTATGTATTCATTAATTTATTTTCGATATAATTTAATTACAGGATTCGGGCACTGGCACACCGGTCACTATGCGAGTGGATCCCAAAGGATACTATTTATATTGGATTGATCAAAATAATGAGATGGATATTTTGGACATAGCGACCATACGCGACACACGAACTGGCGCATATGCCAAAAAGCCAAAAGTGAGTAAATTTTATGGAGAAATTTTATTACAAATAATTATTACTTGGCTTTATGGCGTTATTATTAATTACGAATATGTGTAGGCGTTATGGCGCGAACATTTAATTAGCTTTTATACTGTGAGACAATTAATTATCGGCAAGATTGATTGAGGCTAAGAGCATCAAACAAAGACAGACACACTAATGCAGCAGACAAAGGGTGTAAAATATGTTGTGAAGCGAAGAGTATATTACATGAGAAATGTTCGCTTATACATAAATTAAATGTATTATAACAACAATAACGTTGTTGGCTATCTCTCTGAATTTCAATTATATATCTCACACACTGACCGGTATTTTCGGTAGAAAGTTAAACAAAAGCACAGCGTTCATATATTCAGTGCTTAGAGTATTGAACACTTTTGCCTCGATTTATGCAATCAACCAGATACTACTCCGCTTTTCTTTCTGTATTTGAAAATAATATAAAATCACAAGTTGTTTTTGTTGAAATCCATTCGGCTATTCTCGTTAATACCATCATAAGCCTAACAAATAGTGCTGCAAGCGTAATAAATATTTATATACATACATACAATTTGTACATATATATAACGATGGAGTATATTAGCAGACATTCGATGCCCGATTGGCGGCAGCAGTTTAACTATAAATAAATCATTAGTAAACAACATTCGCTTTTAATTTGGTCGAACACTTCTGGTGTTGCGCTAGCACAACTCTATTTGCACATAAACCAATATACACAAACACTAAGCTGCTCGCGAACCGAACACTACAACCCACACCCCTTCGAGCACCCACACAGCTCTGCTTGGCAAATAAATAGCGAAGCAATTTCGGAAACATATTTGAATTCCATGAACTAAAATTCATTAAAATTGTATTTGATTTTAACAACCAGAGAATCACAGAGAGGAAAACAAAATTGGGACAGCGCATTGTAAATAACTAGTGATTAATTACATTATGTCATTAGACGACTTGAGTATAAATAAAAGCTGAACCAGTGTGTAGTAGCCCGAAATAACGGTGTGTATTTGTGTTGGCCATTGTAGGCATAAATAGCGCAGTTCGCTTGTAATTTTGGCCATAAAAACAATATCTCAATTTGCTTTAGGCTATGGCTGTAGCAGCAACAATGAAACATCTGCCGTTAACTGCAGTCGCCTCACTTTAATGTAAACATTTTAATATATCAAGTATATATTGTATATCCTTGATTTATGCGACAGCACACAAAGCTAAAATTAATTTGTATTTTGTGTGTGTATTATGGACTGGCTGCTTGCGCTTTATATTCTTGTTATTATAAATTACTTATGTTCCTAGAGATATATGTACTAGAGCTGATCGATTTACCGGGAGCCAAAAAAGAAAATGTCGCTTATGTGAAAAATGTTCTACCTATAGGTCTATTGTACCCTTTCTTATGTCACATATGTTCACAAAGGTGCAGCACAAAATCAGTGCCTTGCTGGGCGCGCTGGAGGTGATGTAATCCCTGTCCACGTAGATGGATCTCAGGGCCTTGAGTGTGTTTCTTCAAATTGCTGGGCAATCTAAAATCAGGTGTGATGAATTTTCTGGTTTGATGTCGCAAAATCGGCAGTTTGCTTAAGAGGCTATGCCCATATTGGACAAGTGTTTCTTGGGTCTGCAGTAGCCAGTATACGTCGCGACAAGGAGACGAAATTTGTCTCAAGGGAGGCTAATCATATAATATCTCTAAACCTTGCTTGGTTGTAACCTCCCAAAAGCAACTTGCTGAGTGCTTCTTTATGGTTCTAACAACATCATCTCGCAGCTACCCGTTTATCCCCGGCACCCAGATCAGGTATACACAGTTGTTAAGCTATGATCGCCTCCTCAACAATCGGAGCTGCAAAAAAGGGGCAATGCGCCGACACGTAAAAAGCTTGCGTATTTTTTTTTATTTTTTTCGAAGCCCTCACACATAATCTTGGCGATCCTGCATGTCTGTAATGCATCCTATTTCCCCATTATTCGTGCGTCAGCCCTTTCCGAAATTTCATGTGTTTTCTTTTTAGTGATTAATGTGTTTTCTGTACTGAGTCGATTGCCAGACGAATGAACTATTTCGCTTGCCTAATTACTTAGTGGCCTGGAACCTATATTGAGTCACTTTACGGCAGCTACTACAACTGCTGCCTTAATTAACGTTTTTGGTTTTAAGTATTGGGGAATATATATAGTCCAGTAAAAGGAAATCCATTACTCTTATTATAGGAGAAAATAGAAAACTAATCTGAAAATAGTATAAACTCAAATCCTAGAAGTAATGTTACCTGTCTACGGGTTAAAACTACTGATTATACATATGACGTGTAGTGAGTGTGCCGGTCGAGATATTGAAATCAGATATGCTTTTCTTATGATTCGTTTAAGGAAAAGCAAGTCCTTCAGCAAGCTCTCACTGTTCTCAACGTGGTTTCCAAATTTTATATTGATGTTTTATCCTAAAAGCTTCATATGTTATCTTAAGAGAACCAAGAATGAACGAAACAGCGACTATGACAATTACGTCAAGTAATTTTCTTTGCGTACCCTTTAGAGCAAAACAGATTGGCTCGTGACGACATGTAATTACTATCGTTTACTGCCTATTATTGGGTTACATATGAATTTGTTATGCCGAGAATTTGTTTTAAGGGGGTATTCTAGTCTAGAAATCAAATTTTGGGCAGTTTTTTCAATTTTATTTAAAAAAACCAAAAAATATTTTTACTATCCATTTTCTTATGATGTTTTTTTTACTGATATCTTAAGAATAGAGGAAAAAAAATTTTTCAAAAAAATATTAAAAATTAAAATAATTAGAGGGGGGGAGAGACAAGTGTAAAAAAATAGCGCATCCTGGTGACATTGTTCCTGACTCTCCTGGTGGTCTGAAAAAAAAAAAAATTAAAAATTAAAAGAAATTCTTAATCAGTAAGGATACTGTTATAGTCCCTACCTCAGGGAACATGAAATAAAAAATTTTCAAAAATGGCGACTGCTTGAAAATAGAAATCATTTTTTACGTTTTTTTTTTGAAATTCGTGAATTTTTTAAATTTATTTAAAAAAAATTTTGACACGATGCTGGTGGGAACGATAAAGGATTATAAAAAGAAGGTTCACACAAACTTTCAAGTAAATCGGCTGTATAGAAGTTGATATAATGCCGGTACCGTGTGGAAAAAGGTAGTTTCGAGAAAAACGGGTTTAAAAAAGTGAGTCAAATTTCTGGCAGTCTAAGTCATTTATTAGTGCGCTAGGTACTAAAATAACTCTAGCTATTAAAATAATTTGAATTTTTAAAAATCCTTTGGAGGATATGTGCTTAAGGGTCTAAACTTTAAATATATGAAAAAAAAATCGAATTTTTCAAAATTCTAGAGTAGAATACCCACTTAAAGTGTTTTTTTTTTTTTTTTTTTTTTTTTTTTTTTTTTTTTTTTTTTTTTTTTTTTTTTTTTTTTTTTTTTGTTTTTGGCTTGTTAGTACAAGAACAGGTCTGCTGGATCGGTAAACCAGCAATTCTTAAACTTTACTCTCTTATCGAACTTTGTCAAAAAGATTATCGGCTGCTACTCCATTTCCTAACCATTCAATTAAAAAGAGATGATTCTTATAGAATACTCTTTCATCAGCATCTGTTGATCTTGAAATATTATATGTTTTTTGGTCGCCGGTTTTTCGATTAATTTGAGGCATTAAGTTTGAGATATTTGAGATCCGGTGCTCCTCAACTGACCAGCTTTCGCTAGACTGAGCTTAAACCACCTGACATGCCATTATATCGATTAACTCGGTGAATTAGTTGAAACCGGTGTTAGCCGCAGTACGTTTTTTGCATAGTTTTAATTTCCACTAGTGAACTTTTTATGTCTACAGTTTCATTTATTTCGTTCCATGTACGGAGTGGAGTTTAAAAATTCTAAACTTTACTTTATTCAATATGTTGCCTCGTCAGCTAGTTTCCCCATTTGTATATTTTACTACAATTGTGGCAAGATATATATATATATATATATATATATATATTTATGTAATCGGTTGCACGTAGAATAACTACAAGGCACCCATTAAAAAATTAACCATTGTGAGGCTAATATAAAGACACACTGACTGCCATGCCTACCAAACAGCTTTTACAAATTGCAAGGGTAGGTCTAATAAAATGCAACTAAAGTTAACATATTATCAATAGATTTCATAAGCGGAAAGCAGACACTTACTTTTGAATGGAAAACTCCTTGCAGAAGACGTATTTACTTTTAAGAAAATATGGTAAAGTTGTAAAAAAAAATTAAGTTTGGTGAAAGTATTTTATATACAATAATTTAGGAAATAAAACATCAAATACTATGATCAGAGGCTTTAATTACCAGTTCGCCGAACTTATCGCTGGCTATCACTTTATTGCTCACATATCTTTGAGGGAGATATAGAAAGGATCGTTTCACAGACAGTTCTGGGTACTTTTGCCGATAGCTGGTACTCAACTATTGCAGTTTTTCGTTTGTCATTGCAAAGGACTGTAAATAAGAGTCTAGGTGTGCCTTTCCATGCAATGTTGAAGAATCAGGACGCTCGGAAGATAATTATTTTTGAATGCCAAATTACTTGAGGATTTATTAAAATGTTTGTTTTTAACTTGAGCGACTTGAACCATCACAGAACTGTCAGGGGATTTATTTATATACAAGATAGTTCTCCGGGATTAATTCAATAATACAGTGCACTTTTTTTTCTAAAAAAATTCTGTACATTTGGTATGAATTTAGCAAGCGGAGCGAAAGCCTAAATTATTATACGACTATTTAGCTTTTCAAGGATTTCTAAAATTTCCATTTTTGGCTATAAGTTACCCGATGCCTTTAATACAGTAAAAATTTAATTTTTTCTAATTTAAGCTAATTAA